AAAAAAAAAAGATACATATTCGGTCTATCATTCTATCATTCACTCTGTCTGTCATGCTCATGTTTCTCCCTCTTGCCTATACAGTGGTTTAAACTTGGAGCCAATATCTCAAACTTCACATTGTCACCCAGCACTATTCTCTTCCACATAGGCCACGCAGGTAAGTCGACTGACTTTTATTACACAGCATTCGGTACTTGACGTGATCAATAGAGTTAATAGAGTGCAACAGTAGGGTTCAGAAAGTATGAATCTCATTTTCTTCATAGAGAAATAGATTTTTTACAATGAAATATAAATCAATTGTTGTCAATGGTTTTTTCCTTTAGAACTCAAATTTTACATTGAAAATTATGTACAAATCCAGCACAGTACAAAAAGAATGTCCTCAGAATGAAACGGGCTGTGAATTAACCAATTAATTTATTTTATAGTTATTTTTTTTGGTGAGTTTATCATAACCAGATTTACACATTGAATTTCCAAATTAATGTACAATCGAATAGAAAATGTCCAATGGAATATTTGATGGGAAATGTTTGATGGAATATTTAACTTAAATTGAGATAAGCAGGAAAACAGTTATCCATGTATGGAGTGGAGCAAAGTAACTATGCACAATTGTAATGTTTGCTTAGTTTTTTCACCTTTCACTGCTCTTAGAACAGACCCGCATCCAATTTAACTTCTGAAATGTGACATGCTTCTGAGAGAAAATTGAAAATTCTTTTTTTTTTTTTCACTTGCAGCTATGTTGGGTCTAATGTATGTGTACTGGACTCACTTGAACATGTTCCAGACTATGAAGTATTTGGCTATCATAGGCAGCCTCACATTCCTGGCTGGGAACCGCATGCTGGCACAAAAAGCTGTGAAAAGGTACAGTAACTGTTTTAAACTGATATTGCTTCTATTGTCCTTTGCCAGCACCCAAATGGAAAGCATATTATTTAGACTGTCCGAATCATTCACTTTCCCTTATAAAGTGCACTATGTGCCTTTTACTCACCATATAGAAAACTGAACAAGTGACCGATTTCCACTGCAGTTATAGCACCTTTTTTTATCATGTAGTGGGTGGGACGCTTCAGATTCTAAAGAGCATTTGATTTGAAAAGAAAATCTGATGAGAAGCTAAAATGCAGAATGATGTCATCAAAATTATTTATCCGTAGTGGCGGTAGAGAGAGACTATCAATTTTTAATGCATGTAACCTCTAAATGCAAATTTTGCCATTGTTTTTGAGCACACTAGCTAATGGATAACCTTAACACTAGCCTATTCAGACATAAACAGCATTTACTCTCGCACAGTGAAACTTTCCTGGCGAAAAAGGTGCAATTGTATGTGCAAGTGTATGTAAAAGTAGCGTGTAGTAACATTTTTGATTGAAAGTGCAAATGGACCAGTGTTAGTATCATGAAGCTAGTCTTATGCACAGTTTTTAGCAACCTTAAAGGCCAAATTGAATGGTCATTCAAGCAGTGTTAATTTCGTTGACTAATAATTATCGTCATCATTTTCGTCAACAACATTTTTTCCACCGACGACAACAAGACGATAAACTAAAACCCTTTTTGAATGACAAAAACTATGACGAAAATCGATTGACATTTTCGTCAACGAATAAAAACGAGACGAAAATTTTAGGGAGGGACGATTTGGGAAGAGATTCATTCAGAACAAATCTGCTGCGTGGTTCGCAGGTTAGATGCATACATTTGAACCGGCGGGACATAAGCTAAAATATACTTGCTGCACGTCTCATAAAACTTTCAAAAATGTCAATATGTGGGAGTAAGAGAAGAGCAGACATATGGATAAATCTGATGACGCAAGAGAACTCAATTCGGTCCGGTTTTCTGAGCGCAGACACTGAAGCATACACACAGAAAGCGTGTCTCACAGCACACAAGGCAGGGCCCCAGACAAAAAAATTGAGCAAGGAGCCATTGGCTCCTATAAGCAAAAAACGTTATTTATTTTATTATTATTATTGTTTATTTATTGTTTTAACATTTTAACATATTAATCATACTGTCATTTGTTTGTCTCATCTTTTCTTGACTTTATCAGCATTTTAATCCATCTTGTAGATGACCTGGGAACTAAGGTTCACAATATACAGTCACAAAGAATTGTTCATTACACAGAATCTGTACCAATATCATGGACCATAAGCATCACTTGGCCACTGAGTGTCGTTTGGGCTCCTCCTAAATGCATCCTATAAATGTTGTCATATGTCTTTCACACATTCAGTCTGTTTTTCTTCATTAGTAACATTTTATAGGAGTTGAATCATGTAGGCAACAGGTTAAGTAAAAAATAATAATATTCAATAGCGCAAAAATATAGCAAAATGCTCCTCTTTAGTTATTTTTCTAGCTGACTAATGAGCTTATGGACACCGAATGGTTATGTTGTGATGTTTACAAGCTTTACACGTTTTCCGCAGTTTGACACGGAATGAGACATTTCAGTAAGTTGTACTGTAGGCTCTCTTATAAAATAGCCTACCTTTTGATGTTAATTCATGTTCATTATGTACTATAGTAGTAAAGAGAAAGATTAAATGGGTTCACTTGCCGCTTGAACTGAG